GGCACCAAGGGAGGCGCTGGGGGGGGCACCAAGGGAGGCGCTGGGGGGGGCACCAAGGGAGGTTGTGGTGAGAGAAGCACCAAAGAAGCTGAGACTCATAGGCAAGTCTCCTGTTAGGGCTCCAAAGACCCCTCAATGCAACCTTTGCTTCTCTTTGAGCCCAGGTCACCACCCTGGATCTGCTCTAGGAACAATGGTACAGGACGGGGCACACTAATGCACACAGATGCACATTTGTGAATGGAGCTGTGTGTCTAATAAAGTCTTCTGAAATTTGGAATTGCTGCCCATCGGTGATTTACTGTTAAGTACTTCTCCCTGGGATCTCGCATTTCTAAAAATACTATTTGCTTTTTATTTAGCACTGAACCTTCTGATGTTCCAGAATATAAAAATAGTGTCTTATTATTTTAAAAGCTTAGGAGAGAAACTAGCCATATTATTAGAAAAAGAAGATATATGCACCTATAGTCTGTTCAAATATCAAGAGGTGTGACTTTTCAAATTCACATTTCAATCTTTATTTACATAAGACTTTTGTAACAGTGGGTGTAAATATTAAATCACCCAAGCTTGGGTGAAATTTTATTGAGAATAACTACAGATAAAGGGAAACTGATTTTTTAAAGTCGGTTTCTGAAATTTAGATGAAAAGAATATTGAGCACCAAGGAAAAAATGATATATTTACATATCAATATAGGTTCTCTGCTCACAGATTCATTTCCTATGAAACAGAACAGAGGCAAGCTTGGGGAGTTACAAAGGAAGGAAAAATCCTAATCAAATAGAAACTGTTGTTCAAACAAAATATTAGCTAAAATGATCCAATCAGTTGCTTGAGCCAAATTTTTTTCTTTAAGCCATTCATGACAGAACACAACGTCTCGGAGTATTAAGAATCCATATTACGTTCCAAGTGTTTGCCCAGCAGATGGGGGGATTTGAAAGATACAGTCCATGGAAATGGGATGAGAACAAGGAAGGTTACCAGTGAGTCACCAGCACTAACACAATTTAGTCATAATGGGGCCACATTTCTCAGGGTAAACATTATGTATTTGTATTCTAGGGCATAAGTGGCTGTTACAGGAATCAACCTAAAGTATAGTAAGTTCCAATTGCTAGATCTTTGACTTCACCGTTGTTCAGGATTACACCATGGAATGCAGCATAACATGCAGAAATTCTCCTGAAGAGTACAAAAAGCACACCTCCGTGGAATGAGTCAGACACTAGGCTTTGTTTTTGTATTTCTCCAATGACTTCAGAGAATCAGAGGTTCACGTGGGCAATAACTGACACAGCATTAGGTCTTCATTTAAAACAAAATCATTGCCTCTCATTGTAAAACACAGTAGCCTGCGATATGCCCATTCAAAAACTTAGGATGGATCAACTCAAACTTTTGCTGATCAAAAGCAGAGCAATACGTTTCTCTAACCTCTTTAGAGGGCAACCTAAGATATACTCACATATACAGAGATACACACACATACTTGGTTTCTAAACACACACACACACACACACACACACACACGCACACACACACACACACACACACACTCCTGGTTTCTATGTGGCAATGAAACATAATTCTATTTTATTGCAATATTAAGATTCTAAATCTAAAATAAAAAAACAAGAATTACAGAGGTTATCAAAGACATTAACTTGTTCTTAGAGTAAGTGCACAATTAATAACAAAGGTATTATTATGCCAGTGTATACTTTACGATATTCTGCCCAATATTCTCAGGAAACTGAGAATCTGACTCTGGTCATCTTAGACCTCCTTTACTTTGAATTAATGTTGTGAACACTGCATTTCTCCTTCTGAAATCTGTGGTTTCTGTGAAGTTTATGGGAACACCAAAGAAAGCTTAACCAGGGAAAGGAGAAAACAATGTCCATTCCTATTCGGATAATTAACTGAGGTCAGGGTTTCTCTCCAAGATGTCCTCAAATGATCCCTATTAACCGTATCCGGTAGCCTGTTCCCTCCCCTGAACGCTGTGTTAAGAAAAAATTTTAAGTGTATTTTCATTTCTATTTTCAATCTGAAGCTGGAAACAAATCATTTTGCACCCCAGCACAATGCCAAGAAAAGCTTAAATCAATCTGCATCTTTTTATTTACATCCCTCATTCCTTAGAAATGTAATTGCCGTTTTTATTAACTTTGTTTTATGGATCTAATATTTAAGAGCAAGTCTGTCTTTTATGTCACAGCAAGAAGGTGAATGCACTTACAGACTCCCCCGCAATACATCTCAGGCAAGGCTGGGCTGAGCTCCTTCCACCGTTCTGAGGAATCTATTTAACAAATCACAGCCGCAGATGCATCAGGACAGTCATTATTTACACTTTTTATTAAAATATTTAAATGGGTCACAGCTGGTTTGGTGGGAATGGGAACCTACCCCCACACGTGGCAGCCCCCCGCCACTCCAAGACATCAGGGCGCTGAGCTTCGCGGGGGTGCAGCCCCATTCCGGCCCGGCGGCTTCTACTCTCCTGCATGCCCGTTTCTGAAAGACATGAAACTTCACTGGAGACGGCTCCGGGAGCACAGGACACTAATTGGATTTGCTTTCTGCAAACTTCAGCTGCAAACACAGACCCCTGTAGAGCCGAGTGAGTTTATAGGACGTTTGAGGGGTGACTTTAAACACCGTCTTTCAGGAACACGTTCCATCAATTATATTTAACCTCATTATTTCTAGCACTATTTGGGGTTTACTTGGCTTTATGGATTTAAAATAGACATTTGAAACAATTTTGGCCAAAATTCTTATAATAAACTATTGTGACTGGTTTACTGATATTGAAAATATATAAAATCTATCAATTTTGTTCAGGAAACTAGTTACATGCTTCAACACATTTTGCCTAGTTTCGAGTTCCATACTATCTTAATACAATGTAAATAATTCACATGTGAATAATTCTTTGTCTTACTGACACTGAAGAGCAAATTAACTTTACTTATTTTCAGGTTGCACACATGCTCCATAACTGATAACCTCTGGGAAAGTTAGCATTTGGTTTTTGCTTCCCCATGAACTAAAAAAGATAAATTACAAAAGCAATCCTCTAACACTAAAGAAAAAAAAAATTATTCACTCTCAAAATCCCAAGACTTTGTGCATTTTGAAGGGTAACAATGTTTTCAGTGACACAAAGTTGAGAAGCTGGAAGACCTTTGCAAAGGGTCGTAAAGTCCATCCCTTGCTCCCTGGGCCAGCCTGTGGGCCCTGCTGCTGGACAGCTCCCGCCAGGTCAGTAAACGGCCCTTACACTGCGGCTCCCTCCGCCTCTCTGGTCTCCTGCAAACCATCGACATGGTTTCTACGAAATTTGTTCCTTATCTGTACTATTACTTATTTGTGTTTTCTAAATTGACTTTTTTTTTAATGGATTTATTCAATATAGAAGCCTTATATCATAGGTTAGAGTGCTAGTTTTACTGTTGTCTAATATGCCTTAAAGATTACATGGAAATTTTAGGATTAAACTGGAAAATGCTGAGCTCCGAGTCCCTCAGCCCACTGAGAAGAATTTCTTGGGTGAGTGCTTGACCTCTGGATGGCTGAAGACAAGGCCGGCTACGCAGTCACTGACTTCCTTATGGTTCCCCAAATGAAACTATAAATTCTACATCAAACCACACCCTGGGCATAACATGAAGCCAGAGAATGTGAAATATGAAGAAAAAGGTAAGAGAAAAGCCACCAAGTCCTGGTGTAGGTCCCTCGTGCCCCTAGCTCACACCTGTCTTCATGAGCTCCAGTGGGCCAGGGCAGAGGGAAAGACCGCAAGACAGAGAGGAGCACAGCAGAAGGGTGAGGAAGTCCATACGAACATGAAGACACTATGACGTGCCTGACTGCCTCTGTCAGGGAAGGGACTTCAAGGCCCACACAAGCAGTGTAAGAGGACAGACACCATTTACAGAGGCATTCCAGGGAAGAAAACAGACAAAAGAGGAAGGGAGAAGCACCCTTCGGCAACTGAGTGGTGAAGCTAAAAGAGAAAGAGGGAAAGTGGAGGGTCCTAGGAGTAAAGAGGAGTATCATTAGATTCACCCTGGCCTGTCCTCACCAAAGCCGAGCAGCCAGCCAACAGCTGCCACGGCAGCCCCTGCACTTGGCCAAACCAACCGAAGAGGCTGCCACTAGACGCAATCTTTTAAACACTCGGTACCATAAAAACGTCCTCCTGAAAACTACCACGAGTCAAAAGAAAATTGGAATTTATACTCCCAAAAACATAATTAAATATACCACACTGAATTAGAAACGTAGAATTAAAAACAGAAAAGGACAAAAATGGAGAAAGCAGGGGAGAGGTGAGCAGACTCAGGAAAGTTATGGAAGGAAAACAAAATTACCTCAGAAATGAGGAATCAATTACAGAACACCCAAGGAGAATCAATTCAAATGAAAACTAACAAAGGGCACTGAGGACAGCCAGGACCACAACCAAGAGGAGGCCACGACACTGAGAAAGACGGGAAAGGGGAGGAAAGCAAGTGGTGGGGAGAGAAGACAAAGGAGTGATGTCCATAAATCTGACTTCGTAAAAGAGGAAAACAAAACAGTAAAGCAAACATGTAACTCTGCAAGAAAATTTCCAGAATAGAGAAAGGCCCAAATCTTCAAAGGAAAGGGCTCACTGGGTACCCAGGAAAAATAACCCAGAAGGATCAACTCTGAGACGCATCCTAATGAAACTATGGGATTTCAAAGGTAAGGACAAAGTCCTCAAGGCCCATGGCACCAATCAATAAATACGCAAAGGAAGTAGACTAACAGACATTCAAACCAACACACAAGCAAGGCAACGATGGAGCAACATTATAAATTCAATGAAAGTATGAACCAAGAATTTTAAATCCAGCAAGCCATCATTCAATTACCAAGACTACAGAAGAGCAGTTTTTAACATTCATGAATTTGGAGAATATCACACCCAGTCGGCCCTTCTTGAGGATTCTATGTGAGGGTAAACTTTATCTGCCTACTGACGAGTGGGAAAATTTCAGCAAAAGGATTTATGAGACACATTAAAAATATTTAGATGTACATATTAGACCAAAATAAAGGTGCAATTAGGCTGGAAGACTGATGTACAAATATTACATACTGTGACAAAACAGAAATAATTCAACTAAATGTGAGATGAAGGAAGAGGTAAAGAGCAAAAACTCTGATTAATGTATAGGTCATTACTGTGTGAGCAACCGGTGTGCATTAAAGAATACAAGGAAAAAAACCAAATCAGACAATAAAGAGTTTAACAAAACGGGTTACTAAGGACATAAAAAAAGGTTTAAATACATAGGTAATAAATAGAAAATACAAATCTATCTAAATCCAAAATCAAAAATATAAAAGCAAAGAATACAGATCTCCTAAAGGAATGGCAAATACAACAAAATATGCATATCATAAAATATTTTGATAGAGTTACAAGCAAATAAATCAGTCATGTCAATAAATATTAATGGACTTAATTTACTTATTTAAAGAAAAAGGTTTTTAATTGGGTTCACAGAACAAGACCCAACTGTATCCTGTACACAAGAGACATACCTAAAATAAAGTCATTCAGAAAGGCCAAAAAGCAAAAGGCTGGAAAAGGTAAATGAAACAAAAAGAGAGAAGTAGACCAAGTAGAATTCACATCACAAACGGTTAAACACAAGAGGATATATTTAATATTAAAAGCCACAGTCTGCAACGAAGACATAATGCTCATGAACATCTACACACCAAGTAATACAACCACCACCTTGGGGCACCGGGGTGGCTCAGTCAGTTAAGCATCTGCCTTTGGCTCAGGTCATGATCTCAGTGTCCTGAGATGGAGCCCCATGTCGGGCTCTCTGCTCAACGAGAAGTCAGCTTCTCCCTCTCACTCTCTCTCTGTGCTTCCCCCCCCACCTCTCTCAAATAAATAAAATCTTTAAAAGAAAAATAACCACCCCCTTTACGAAACAAAAGTGACAGGATATGCAAGGAGATGCACATAGGCACGTACTAAAGATGGGAGATCTAGGGCGCCTGGGTTGCTCAGATGGTTAAGCGTCTGCCTTCGGCTCAGGTCATGATCCCAGGGTCCTGGGATCGAGTCCCGCATCGGGCTCCCTGCTCCTTGGGAGCCTGCTTCTCCCTCTGCCTCTCTCTCTCTCTCTCTCTCTCTCTCTCTGTCTCTCATGAATAAATAAAAATCTTTAAAAAAATAAAAAATAAAAAAAATTAAAATGGGAGATCTAATACACCATCTCCATACAAGGCAGAGCAAGTACACAAGAAATAAATAGAGACAGATCTAAGCAACACCATCAACCAAGGTAGAGCTCACAGATATACAGTGAAGTCCATTCCCTGATCCTAAAGAGTCTATCACACAGGGGCGCCTGGGTGGCTCAGTCAGTTAGGCGTCTGACTTCGGCTCAGGTCATGATCCCAGGGTCCTGGGATCAAGCCCTGCTCAGGTTCCCTGCTCAGCAGGGAGACTGCTTCTCCCTCTGCCTCTACCCCTCCCCCAGCTTCTTTTCTCTCTCTTGCCTTGCTTTCAAATAAATAAAATCTTTAAGGAAAAAAAAGAATCTATTGCACATTCCCTACAATGGTCATATATTAGGTCACAAAGAAAACATCAACCATTTCCATAATGTAGAAATACTGCAAACAATACTTTCTGATCACAATGTAATAAAAGTATACATTATCAACAAAAACAAAAACAAAAAAGTCATTTCCACTTGGATATTTAAAAAACCTATATTGACTTTTAGTGAAAGAGTAAATACAAACTAAAAGTATAGAATTTGGAGGGCGGAGCAAGATGGCGGAGGAGTAGGAGACCTGGATTTCGTCTGGTCTCAGGAAGTCAGCTGAATAGGGATCAAACCATTCTGAGCACCTACGAACTCAACAGGAGATCGAAGAGAAGAGTAGCAACAACTCTCTGAACAGAGAAGCGACCACTTACTGGAAGGTAGGACGTGCGGAGAAGTGAATCCGAGGCGATGTTCGGGAGGATAGACGGCGGGGGAGGGGCCTCCGTCGGCCGCTTCTGGCAAGTGATAGAGCCGCGGAGCACAAAATCGGACCTTTTAGAAGTCGGCTCCGCTGAGGGACGTCGCTGCAGTGGTTAAGCGGGGGTGGAACCCTCGTGGGACAGTGGGGTCTCAGGACCCTCGGGGTCACAGAAAGACCGGGGGAGCCTGAGTGCGCCAGAGCTCCCAGGGATCGGAGCGGGGAAGCCGGCTGCAGAGACGGAGCCGAGGCGCGGGCTCTCAGCTCGGGGTGGCCATAAACTGTGATCCGCGGCCCAGTCGGGCCACTGCTCCTCCAGCAGGGACCTAACAAGCGACAGATCCGGGGAGACTCCCCTTCCTCCCCCGGGAGGAGCGGCGCGGGAACGCACTGCAGGGATCTGCTGGGTTTGGAGACTCCACACGGGGTCGGGTGCCAGAGATAGAAACGCTCGGTCACAGGCCGGGTGAGCACGGAGTGCG